GGATCCAGCCAGCAGAAGACGCAAGTGGTTCAACCGCCTCCCTGCACATAGATATGGAGCAATATAGGTGCCTGGTCGATGGAGAAGAACACAGCAGGACCGTTCACGGCCAACGCAGACTCCATAGCCGACACCTCTGCTCAAGTCGGGGGACTAGGGTAAAACTTTTTTGCAAGCCTCCACTGAATACGTGCGAAAACCCATGAAAACCTCATGAGGTTTCAAAACTTGCACAGGCCCCGGTCCATTCCAACGTCGGGTAGACTATCCGACTATCCTATCGAAGTAGTCCTATAAATTCGGGTCCGGTCCCTCCCAAAACCCGGGAGGGAGAAAGGCGCGTCGGCTTTAGGGTTTAGGGTAGTAGACGAAGCTCCCTCTGCGAACCGCGGGGCCGTTGAGGCCGCAAAGTTTCAATACCGAGCTCGAGGAGAACAAAACTAGCCGTAGCCTTCAGCAACGAGCAAACAAAGAAACACACATCATGCATATAATAGCGACCAAAAATCCAGATCGTAGGAGCAAGCATGATCATGCTGTGTGAAACCCGACTCAACGAGCCGATTTGGAAAGAATTGACCTCGTGTCTGGGCCCCAGGCCATACATTTGGCCATCTCCTCAACAAGAGATTTTGGGTTTAGGCTGGTTTAGGGTTTCCAGTGATCGGCTGTATTCTATGGAGCAATCCCTCGCTGTTCGCTCGGCGTTTCAAGTCTCACCCTTCACATCCAGATGCCTCTTTAATCCGACCTTGCGAACGACAACGAGCTTTTTTCAACAAAGCAGATCCCCGTGGCACGGTTTGGAAAGGAAGGATACTGTGTCAGCCAGGGACTGAGGCTGCATTTTTTGAAGCAAGGCAGTTCTCCCTTCGGTCTGATTATAAATCATGGTCATGACGGCGAACTGCGGGGTTGCGGGTCAAGATTTTGCTGTTGCCACCACAAGCATAGTGCGGGTACATGGTACAAGGTACCATGTTTCATGTCTACGGCGACGCTACAGCTACAGCTGCGCCCCTTTCCTGTGACAGTGTTGTACAATCTTGTAATTGAGAAATCCAGATAGCAAAATGATAATTATCTAAGACGGCTGTGGTGGCAGGTGGTTGTGGTGGAGAAGGTGGTAGTAGTGCAGTAGCAGTGGCAGTAGCAGTGGCAATGGCAGCGGCAGTGGCAGCAGCAGCAGACGTAGCGCTAGCTGTGCAGCGGCAGCAGCAGCAGTAGACCTGGCAGCAGCCGTAGCGGCAGCATCAGCAGCAGCAGCATCAGCAGCAGCAACACATGGCGCAAGATGAGACTGGTTCAGGGTCTAGGGTTAGGAACATGATGCAAGGTGCTTACAAATAGTATTCCCATGGTTCATAATCGAATAAGCCCCGTACACACAAACAGACACATTCCTAGGGAGCGCTATACCGCTAAGGTGAAACCTACTATAAAAACCTCAACAATTATCATATCCGCCGAGTACCCTCCACCTAATCCTCCTCCCTGCAGCCGAAATGGTTGGACCCACCCGCTTTTTGCATCCATTTTCCACCCCCTCGCCCGACTTCCCTTGATTTTACCTGACTTGTTGGCCTTTGCCTCCTCGACCCCCTCACTTTTTGCTGTTTTTGGGCCTTTTAGCGCCCTCGCCCTTCTGCCCTGCCCCCCCCCCCCTCCTCCTTCCCCCGCCCACCTTTCCTGTTCCGCTCCTTGGACGGCACGGCGGGAGAGGCTGAAGAGTATGAAGAAACAGAAGGACAGCTTGGGACCAGCTTAGGTAACAGCCGGGTAACATTTGAAGAAGCCGTTAGTGCAGTGGGCAGGCGTCTTGGAGGTTACCTCACGTACCCTCCACCTAATCCTCCTCCCTGCTGTCTTACCGGTTGGACCACGCTTTTTGCGTCCATGTACCACTCATGCAAAGCCGCAGCTTTCCGTGCCTTCTGGCCCTCAGCAGCCGAGGCGGGCGACTGTAGCGTTAAAATTATTATAGACTAGTTAATTCCGGTCTTGGATCTCGTCGCAGCCAACTAAACCACGTCGCATGTGCATGTCTGCATGACTGTTACGATCTCTCACGTGTCCTATCGTCGAGACTCGATTTGCCTCGAGTTCATGGAGCATTTGGAGCATTGCTGGGAGCCTCAACGCATGGCGAGCTAGTGGGATCCAAACGGCACAGTCAATTCCTTTGTAAGTCTAGTAGGTATCGCAAAATGCATCAGTCTCTCATACTGGATTGCACCACACCGTCTCGGCTGTCATCTGCACGAAGGTGCTACGTGTATGAGGAGTGATGGACATGTGTAAGCAAATACGCTAATTTAGAAATACCCGATACCATTGCTCGACTCAAAGTCCACGTCCTCCTGGCCCTGCCTTTTTGGCTGTGCCGCATAAGAAGGCGAACACGTCGACTATCGGGTGCTCCGGCAGCCCAAGCCTTAGCTTACCACTTGATTCCCCACCTGTTCAGAAGCAGGTTGTGCCATGGTTCTCTCCATTTCTGATGGAAAGGGCAAGTGTATCTGGAAACTGCTCCTCCCGCAGCTTCCGGAGCATAAGTTGAGAGATGAAAGTGGCGCAGCAGGGGAGCTCATGGAGCATCTTGGGACAGGTCGCCTAGGGCAGGGCGGCTGAAATGAATCGCGCCTAAGATTGAAACTCATGCCCATCGCCGTGGCGTGTCAAACTGGCAATTACGCGCTTTCTCCGCTTTAGCTGATAGGCTGACAGTGGGCTGTTGCATTTGACCACATGCCCCAGCTGTGCTATAGCTTGTGTGATCCGTCAGCTGTCAGGGTGCAGGTACAGCTGCGGTCGCCGCAGCACACGCGAGGGACACCTGTCGCTCGTTGTTGAGAA